AAATGGAAACTAATTTTTTGTAAATTTATAACATAACTCTACAGAGGACATAGTTATCTGCCCATCCCTGAACATATCTCGATCTAATTCAGTGCCAAAAGGAAATAAGCTAAAGCAAAAACATACTGAGAAATTCTCGTGAACTTCACTGGATAATTTTACTGTGAATAGGGTAAAATTTTACTCATACTCTGTCCAAAATATATCACATACATTATATGCTTATTCAAATACAGACACCAAACATTTGACATATATTCCTTAGCAGAAGGCATACATTCTTTGGCAGAAGGTTAACTTTAAAAGTACAGAAATGATTTAAGGAGATGAAATGTGAGTTATGCATAATCATGTGAAGTATTCATAATAAAATTTTTTGCCAAAATATATTAAATATTTTAGGTATTACTTCCAGCTTATTTGAGATACAAATGATAGAAACATAGAAAAATTACTAAAATAAACTCTATCAAACTATAAATAAATAAATACATAAATAAATAAAACCAGTCCATTGAAAACCATTCCAGAAAACCAATATGACTGGAACACTTCCTAAGTCATTCTATGAATCTTGCACTACCTTGAAATCTTTGCAAAAGAGCAATCAAATGAGAAAACTATGGATACATATTTCTATCTTAAAAGGGGAAAAAAATGAATCCTAGCAGAATATTTAAAAGATGATAATTTCTCATGAAGTTTAATATATTCCAAGAACTCAAGGGAATTTCAGCAAATGAAAACATGTAATGAATTAAAGCAGAGAGTAAAAATATCTCATTTATTCAAAAAGCATCTGACAAATAGCAAAATTCCTTGAGGTAGGAAAAAAACACCCAAAATCTAGAAGAATGAACATCTTCACCATTAATTTTATATAAAACATAGGAAATCTGGTAACTCATAGTGAGAGGTCATGTATTTCCTGCCCAAGAAGACTGAAAAAGAAAATAATACCACCTTTTATTACTGTAGCCAGATCTATTAAAATTTTAGCCAGAGAGTGCAAAAAAATTAATAGGAGACAAAAATATTGGAAAACAAGTCCAGAAATGATCTTCATTCACAGTACACATGACTGTATATTAAAATGTTCCAAAGATACCAAATACAGAAAACAAGCTTTTAAAATTAACAACCAAGCTCAGCAAACATGCTGAGTATAAAAGTGATATATAAAATCAGTCATGTGTCTACACATCAGCAATGATTCATTGAAGAAATTAAGCAGCAGTTT